GGAAAGGCCCGGCCCGGCCCTGAGGCCGCTCCCGCAGCCGCTGTCTCCGCATCAAGACCAAAGTCCTGTAAGCTGAAGCTTTAAAAAAACACCCAAAAAACCTCCCAAAACCCACTCTCTAGGTAATGCTTTACGTATCATCACAAACTTTGTCTGCACACGAGCCACTTTTTCCATAGCCATTTTGAGTAAATCTACAAAAGAAAGAATTCCGCTAACCTCTGCAAGCAAGACCTCGGCTGGAGACGCGTTCCTGGAACACAGAATTGAGACCACGCAGCATCTGCTGTGAGCAGGGCACGGACACGCACCTCGTACCGCCTGCCTGGAGAAGCCCAAAACCCCAGAGTGAATACTACGCACGACTACAGCTGTACTGGCAAACAGAATTTATGACAGAACACTCTTGTATACATCAATCTTTGCAATGATAATCAACGCTTTTATACATTCGATTTTTATCAAAAGACTGTTTGTTTTTCCCAGTTTTATTTCCAGGAAGAGTTTTTAGTCTTTTCGGTTTAGTGCTCTTCTTTAGCGGGATTGCTTTTTCACCCACAAACGAGTCATTAGAGCACTTCTTGTTTTTTGATGTGGTATCAACTCTGTCCTTAGGAGCACGAGACTGATCTGGACTTTTCTGTGGTGCTTTCCACTTGTCTCCACAGCGCTTCACTCTTATCTTTCTTCCCATCAGAACAGAGTTGTTGAGTTTCAGAGCAAGATGTACAGCATCCGTATTCTACAAGAACAGACATTCAGTTTAAAAGCAGCATTACTTCCAGCTGATGGCTTTCAACTAAATAGTTGCCTGCCTTTAATTTTTGTAAGCGATATTTTACAATAACAAGCGCTCAAACTGCTCTATTTATCGAATGACACAACCTCTCTGCTCTGCTCAGAAACACCAGCACACCCACACATCGAGGCTCAGATACTTGAAAATGGGCTATAAAACAGCTTACATGAGACGTGAAAGCAGAGGCAGAGAAATGAAGGAGAAACTGGGTTAAAAAAGGTATTGAGCCGCAGGAAATAAACTAAGGAAGAGGAGGCTGGGAGACTCAGAGAAAGCAAGAGAGGGAGATGAGAAAGCAAGGTGTACTGAATCCAAAACGGAGAGCCAGTAAGCAAACCAGCTGCAGGAAAGAATTCCACTCATATTTTGACACAAAAGAAATGGGAGAACACTGCAGTTATACCAAGCAAATTCATCTGTCCCTCTTTTAAGTCTTTCCCTTAAAGTTCATTTCTTTCACCCCAACTTTTCACAACTTTGCTTTGTACACAACCTAAAATAGTTTGCTTTGCATCTGCTTCCACAGAACTGGTCTTCCAAGCTGCTTTTAACGTACACAACAATGCTACCATTTAATGTCATATACAAATCCAAAGAAATCAGTAAAAGAAAAAAATTCTAAAAGGCCACACAGGCAAATCCCAATTCAGGTTTTGAAGAATTCCCAGTGTCCCGAAGCATGCCATTCACACGTTACCTCGAAGAGAACGTAGCCGAAGCCTTTCCCCAAGCCGGTCTTCCTGTCTCTCACAATTCGCACTGCTACTACACCTCCACAGACAGAAAAGTGTTCTCGCACAGCATCATCACTGATGTCTGCAGGCAAGCACAATGAAACAGATGCCTCTTCAGTCAGACACACAGCTTTAGAAGCCTGGCCCAAATCCAAATATTTATGTTTACCGATTCAGGTACACAAACATATATATTTAAATATAGATATTAATATATGAATGTATACATAAGTACACAAATATCAGTGTACTTATGAAATTCCAGCAAGTTAACAATGCAGACTTCATAAAGGGCTATCTACTTTGACAGTTAGCAATTCTGCAGCTTTGAAGAGTACAACATAAATCACAAAGAATAACGAAGGCAAAGGCCGAAATAAATTTTTCAAGTAATTTCATTTATGGTTTGAACGCAGTGTAAATTAAGATTCATGCTACACTTTTGTAGCTCCTTCTTATGCCAGAATCTCTTTCTAAGAATTAATGCTGATGATAATGAGCTCGAGCTGGCAGTTCTTGAAAGTCTAATGCTCATTGACTAAGCCATGAATTTTAGCTGAATGGGGGAGAAAGGATTTACAGTTTCCAAGCACAGTTGCTATACAATTATACTGGTAACAGCCAGATGCGTGAGGCTTTCTCAGTCTCATGCCTATGCGAACAGACAAGTGTGATGTACTGATACAACAATACAGGTTATTCTCTTTTCTGTATAGGTACGCTTCATACTATGGTAAATGCCTTTACACAGATGCAATTGTATCTCTGCTAAGGGGAGGGGCTGAATTGAATTGTACAGGTTTAATTACAGCAATGTAACTTAGACGTGCCGAGAAGGTTCAAGCTGATGACCTCATTTGCAGAGCACTGCAAACGTCCAAACTGTTTTTTCTGCAGGATGCATGGAGGAGCATACAGTACTGACACAAGCTGTACAAGACAGGCATTAGTAACGTCACCACAATCAGATTTGTCACCCATCCAGATTTTCAGACAGGTCAAGTTTTAGGCAGCAGTCTAAAGCCTGTTTGTTTCATCATTACTGTCAGCAGCACGTGATACCAGCTCTGCGTCCGGCCACAGGCACAGGGCACACCTTCATCCTGTATATTTACGCACCCACACCACCCTCACCTCAGATGCTCGTACCAGGCATCCTGACTCCATTAATACCCTCCTATGGACCACGCCTGATGGCGATCCCTTCATCTCCTCTCCAGTCTACTCAGCAGCAGTTGAATATTCATCAAGCACTGACCTCAACCATACAGTAAGCACCTCCACACAGGCAACAACTGATTGCCAGTAGCTGCCTGGACAGAGTCACTCACCCTGTGGCTCACAGACAGCATCAAAATGAGAAGCCGTCACTGCGTATCACTTGCAAGTAGTTCACAAGCAGGCACTAGTACATGTTTAACAGTTTAGAAAGCTATGGCCTATGCCATTTAGTCATATTTATTTAAAAAAACAACAAGCGACAACAAGAACTGAAAGTGCTTGCAGTTCTAGCTACAATAAAGGAAACAAATAATCTGCAGAACTTACCAGAAATTTACAACCCTTTCAGGTGTTTCAGTTAAAAAATAAAACTGCTATTTAAAAAATTAATTCCAGCAAAAGCTATTTAGCTACCTAAACATGCTACCATAAATATCAATAAATAAAAAACCCTAATATCAACATGTTCCATAAACATTAAGTAATGATGCATAACAATCCATTTCAGACTTACCATATGAGAGATTTCCCAAGAATACAGATCGTTTATTGTCATGCTAAAGAAAACAAGAGATACAAGGATACAAGACAGTAAGTTATTTGTTACGGGGGGGGGGACACGACACAGACACAACACAGGACCCAAAACAACCAGAAAAGGGGTTTTCTAGTAACACATCTTACTTACCGAACTGTTTTTTGATGCAATGTCAACTCTGATGTGAAATCCGCTAGCAATTTCTGTTCCATTTCTTTTGTGGCCAAAAGTAAAAAGTTTCGAAAACGAAATGAGTAAGTGTTACTTAATTTACAATGTCACTGCATAGCATTATTCCAAAAGCAAATTTACTTCTAAGTTTGAAAAACCATTTAATTCTGATTCAAGCAAAAGAGAGGACGTAATTTAAATTTATCTTTTAACACTCTGTAAATTTACCTCTTCAACATGGAATGAGGAACAAAACTGAGACTTACTCATTTAGAGCCTTAATGGCATCACACTCTTCCTTAAATACAACATAAGCATTAACGAACTTCGCATTAGGGTGCACCTTATGCCTGGAACGTGAGAAAGACACATAGCATTTAAGTAACTCTGATGGTGTGCAGTGCACAAGCACTTCTTGTTTAACACATTTATGCCTCCTCTTGTTTTGTGCACAGGAACAACTTAATTTCTCTTAAAGGTCAAGCTAGCCCCTTGTGTCCAAGGGAGCCCCAGTGTACATCTTATACAGGCTGTATATGCACCCTGATCAAGCTTCCTCAACTCATAAATATATCCAAAGGAATTAAAGACTATTTAATTAAAGACAACTTCCTCCTTCCTAAAATAGAGGAAATGCAACCCAAGATAACGAATTACTTACTAGTATACCGGGCACATAATTATTTTTCCACTTGTCAAGAAAACTTACATACACACATAGGTAATTACAAAAGTCAAAGAAACACAAAATTAATATAGCCAAATACAGAACAACCAACACTTAAAAATTATTTTTGACTTGGAAAATAAAGCACAAAATTCACAAGAGGAACCTACTTTATTGCTGCTAACTTTTTGGATAAAGTATCTTCTGCTGGAACCTTTAAGATAAAAAGAGCTTTAGTTAAGTGGGCCTAGTGTCCATTTATCTCAAATATTTGTGTTTGAAGACAAAGAGGAGTTCAAACAGGTACCGTTCCCACCCAAAGCAATGTAGCCAGTACAGTGAGCAAATGATGTAACTGACTATTCCTAGAGAAGATCTAGAAAGACCTCAGAATTAGACAGCTTGCTTCGACTTCATCTGTTGCGTATCTTGAGTTCCAAGACTGTTATCTTCAACTGTTTTACAGAGTACACTGATCTACAATCCACGTGTCTTTGCCACTATGATTTAAAAACAGCGAAGTAATACCTTAGCTGAACAAGCAAAAATAAAAGCATTCTTCTTACAGAGAAAACACAGCTCTGACAGTACCAACTGCTGCTACAGGAAGAGTAAAATGTGATGAAAGGAAAGATGCCTCTGTGGTAAAACCTCCAAGGATTTTTCTAATGGCAAAAACTACACATTGAAACCCGCTTCCAAATACTACCTTTTAAGATCAGAAACACAATTTTGTTATACAACATTAGAGGAAATAACCTACCAAAGACCGGAATCGAATGGATTTTATTTGTCCATACTCTTTAAAAAGAGATTTCAGCGCCTAAACAGAAGATATTACAAATATTCAATACATTTTTGCATCCTGGTAATAACAATTAATGTTGTAAGATTGTTTTTATTTTCATTTTACTTAATACGAGGTCCATTAAAGGGCTACCAAACATATGCAAGTAATTTGTAACTGTCCCTGTGTTTCTTGTGGCAGCTTCTTATTCTACAGACTGCCAAAACTGAATTCATACCCCTTACTACAGAAGAAAGTATAAATGTAATGTACTTTATGCAACAATTTGAAGTATTACTTGCATTCAAAAATCGGCAGCAGTCTCTAGCTTAGTAGTTGTAGTTCTCATTTGTTAAGTCATTTTTCACTGAAGAAGAAACTAACCAGTCCTGCTAAAGAAAGAGCAACTGCATCCACTGCTGTAAAAAGCCTAACTCTGGTAAAACAAGAGATTGCCTCTAATGGTTTCTGATAATGAGTGTTATTTCCTACTTTCCCCAAAAGCAATTTTAGTCACAAATACACGGGACTTCTCAGCTGGAAACACCCCCTCAAACGAAGGACTGTCATAATTCTTCTCATTCCTTTAGCTGCCAGAATCCACTCACATACCTGGACAGTACAGGTGACAGGCAAGTTTCCAACAAACACTGTTCTTCTGTTTACCGTTTCATCAGTCACCTTTTTTTTTTGTTGTTGTTTTACAGTAGTGCCTGTATCCGAATCAACAACGCTTTTGGTGATGGCATGAGAAGCTCCTTTTTTTTGCTTTGCCTTGTTTTGAGACAGTTTTTGCTCCTCCTCTTCATCTGCCCGGTCCAAAGCGCTCTCTCTTATCAGAAAAAGACGAGCAAATTGTAATTGATGGGAAAAAAAACAGGGCTCTTGAGGTCAAAGAATCAAAGCCTCCAAGATAAAAATTTTAACTTATATTTTAAATGGTGTTCAACACAAAATTTCAAACATTATTTTGCTTATTATGCATTAAACAGATATGTTATCTGACCAATCCGTAACATGGAAAACGATCTGCTGTCCCCAGGACGTTGCATTCACTATTTAGCAGGTGTACTAAAGAAAGAATGCAGAAGTAAACCATCTGATAACCTCTAAAATCGAAGGGGAGGAAAAATTTGTCTTTGCACACTAGAATTAAGGAGAGATTTAATCCTTCACAGCATCCAGGGCACTCACAACAGACAATCATAGGATCATAGAATGCTTTGGGTTGGAAGGGACCTTTAGATGTCATCTAGCCCAACCTCCCTGCAGTGAGCAGGGACAGCTTTAACTAGATCAGGTTGCTCAGAGCCCCATCCAACCTGACCTTGAATGTTTCCAGGGATGGGGCTTCCACTACCTCCCTGGGCAACCTGTTCCAGTGCTTCGAATCCTTTGGGATCCATTTGTGCACTAACAAATCTCTACCTATCCAAACTTGCCATAATAGCGCGAACAATAAGCAGACCTGAAGAAGGCTCTAGAAGGCTGCCGACACCAAAACAGCAAACAGAATTTTCACAGGCATGGAAAACGCAACAACACGCAGTGTCAGAGAAAGGACGTGGCGTCAGTCTCGAGCTACAATCAAGCAAACTTCATTATCCAAACATCGCTGCACAGGGACCAGCTTCCTGCCTGCACTGACAGCCCCTTGGTTCAACCCTGTGTATTTACGGGAGCGGAGAGCGTAACAGAGCACCGCAGCAGAGGGCAAGCATGCTAAGGACACCCAACTCTGCCCGGTACCCTGCCGCCGCCGAGGCCGCCTCTGCTCCTTCGACTACCGGTCTGCTGGAGAATGCCAAGTACAGTCAGAAAGCATCACCCCGTCCCAGAGAGAACTTTTTGTCCAAATCTACAGGCTTTAGACCTGTTGGCTCTCTGATGGGGGTGTTTCCACTTCACGGGCCTAGAACTTCAAAAAGTTGGAAGTGTTTACTACCTTCTGGGGCAAACCACAGACGATTTTCAGCATCTTGTTAAAAATAAACTTCTCAAGCACACGGTTCAAGACAAACGGTAGCACAGAACTTTATTGTTTCACTGAACTGGTAATTTTATGATTAATCTGGATGTCCTTTTAATCTTACTATAAAAAGGTATCAGCTGCTCACCTATTTGCCAAGTTTTTCTCCGCTTTGGAGAGTTCCTTCTTTCTGGCTTTCTTTGCTTTTAGAGGAGGTTCCTGTACAGCAGGTGAGCTCTGTTCTTCTGTCGCTTTCTCCGCTTCTTCTGTAGGCTTTCTTTTCTTATTTTCCTTTAAAAAAAAAAAAAAAAACCAAAAACGAACTTGAAAAAACCGCCCCAAATTCTAGAAACGCCCTACGAGATGACTCTACAGGCTGTGATTTAGTTGGAACACCGCTAACTACCGAGGCCCATC